GCACTGGCAGTGACAGTCGCAGAGTTTCTTGTCTGCTAGAGGACTCCTGATATGTCAAAGCACAATTTTGGCCTTTAGTATGCATCATTGCTTCTTCCGTTTCACTGGTGAGGTAGTCTGGCTACGGAGAACCAGCTCGAATACATGAGCACAGATATGCGCTGGTTGTGTAACTCCTGATATGGTTCATTTTAAGGCTGGGGTTCTCTTACTGATGTAGGATGTTCCATTCAGGGGAGGTCTTGTAATTTTAGGTTCGCTTCGCCTTCTCTTTTAGGAAGTGTGCTGGAAAATGTGATATGTGGTACAAAATCAATTCATGTCACTCTTGAGATTTGCAGTCTCACTGTATATGAATGGTATATAACCAGTTGGACTGTATTACATAAACAATCTTTTTACATGTGGTTTGGCGTGAGAGAGAAACGATGCTCACAAATCCTCTAAGAATGACTGTTGTATCAGTTAATTTTTCATCTGTGAATATCCACCCACACTTTTCATTTCTCCAATGACAAATGCAGATATTCTTACGCAACAAGAGGCCTGCAGTAAATTTGACACTTAGAGCAACTGTTACAAGTCATCCACCCCTCCCACCAAAACCGAATATGATATAGGGCTGAACTACAAGTTATAATCTTTCTTAACCAGTGCTAAGCATTCTGTTAATTGAAGAAAATAATTTGTTGTTACATAAATAAATACAAAAGATTAGTTAATTGAAGGAAATTTGCGACAGGCACACCTTGTTGCCCATGACGCAAATGTAAAGCAAACATGACAAAAAAAATAAGCTTTTAATCAATCAAATAGAGTAGCCACTTTAAGTCCAAAGTGTTACAGGGCCTCAAGGGAGATTATCATGGGTTGGGCTGTTCCTTTGTCTGTGTGGTTTCATGGAGAATTAGAATTTTGAACACCAAGACCAGGTAGACAAGACGCTTGTGTACTTATGCAACAATGAAATGTAACAAAATGGAAATAAAATTAAACCTGAGATAAGATAGATTAAACTGATCATAATAAGCTCTGCAGCAAATGTGTAAAAATGATGTGTTCACTTTGACTTAAACTAAATTATGTTACATAAAAGTCCGTCAGTCAGCAAGAAGGTTTTACATCAAAGATAAGCTTACATAATGTGATTCCAGTAATTGAACAGTCTCATGGGACTTCTAGATAAGAACTTGTTGATCTTATCAAACATTAACAGGAGCAAACCCTACAATAGTTTAAAGAATGGCCAAGTAACACCAAGACTAAAAGACAAATGGCATTGTCAGTCAGATTTTCTTTTAATTAATTAATATTTCTATTCAGCAAGGATGCATTCAATTTATCAAAAGTGACAGTAAAAACATTTACAATGTTACAAAAGATTTCTATTTTCAAACACTTGCTGTTTTATCATCTGTTTTCAACATTGATAATAATAAGAAATGTGCCAAATCAGCATATTAGAATAATTTCTGAAGGATCATGTGACACTGAAGACTGGGGGAATGATGCTAAAAAATGAAGCTTTACTTTCAATGGAATAAATTACACTTTAAAATATATTCAAATAAAAACAGCTTATTTTGAATTGTAATAGTATTTCACAATATTACTGAATTTACTGTATTTTTTTTATCAAATTAATGCAGACTTAGTAAAAAAAATCTAAACTTTTGAAAGGTAATGCACTTTAAAGGGATAGTTCACTTTGAAAACTATTTTTGATATGTTTTAGCTTACCTCAAGGGCAGATTTAGGTGTCTTTGTTTCTGCAGTAGTTTCAATTTTGATATTTTTAGGTCAAACTGTTCTTGTCTGTCAGTCATATAATGCAGGTCTATAGTCACCACTTCAAAGAGCATGCACAGAGAAGTCCAAATTAAACATGATTTAATGACTCCTTAATGTAAGTACACATTGATGGCCTAAGACACGAAACGAGCGGTTTGTGTGAGAAAACAAACAGTATTTTGTATCGTTTTACCTCTTGTAACCACAGCAACATCCAAGTGATCTGAGGACGCGGGCGCTTCGGTCAGCGCAAGCACCGGAAGTGGTCTCTCGTGTGTGTAAGTCACTCATTTTTTACACAGAGGTTTACCTTTCAATGTGAAGATCTAAACATATTTAGCTATACAGGCAATCGCAATGGAAGACGATTTTGATACATCAACAGACAACGTCTAATTTTTTTCACAACCGTGCGAGAAATCCCTTCCAGCGCTTGCGCAGACCGAAGCGCCCGCGCCCTCAGATCACTTGGACATGGCTCTGGTTACAAGATGTAAAACGATATAAATACTGTTCGTTTTCTCACACAAACTGCTTGTTTCGTGTCTTAGGCCATCAATGTGTACTTACATTTATGAGTCATTAAATCATGTTTAATTTGGACTTCTTTGTGCATGCTCTTTGAGGTGGACCCCATAGACCTCCTTTATATGACTGACAGACAAGAACGGTTTGACCTAAAAATATCAAAATTGAAACTACTGTGAAAACAAAGACACCTAAATCTTGGATGCCCTCAAGGTAAGCTAAAACATACCAAAAAATAATTTCAAAGTGAACTATCCCTTCAATCCACACATAATTCACTCTAAAATATGTCAATTTAATTTCATTTTCATTTGCAAAATAGCAAACTAATTGGCATGTGGAAATAGTCCACTCATTTTGGCGAACTTGTGACCCTCAGATTGTACCAAACCTGTATGAATTTCTTTCAGCCAACTATTCGCTTGCAGTGTTATGCAATGTGCGTCATAACTCTGGTGTTTCTATCCTATTCACAAAGCCTTATGCCTCACCCGAGCTCTAATGAAATATGGATAAAATGTACTCATGATCATTATGTCAAACCCTGCTAAGTCACATTGAGATGTCAGTCTTGTGACATTCTCCAGGATTTGTCATTCTAGTGAGGGAGCTGTATGTTCATTTATAGGCCTTATGCCTTCAAGAATGGCCTTATTTATCCTTTCTCTTTATTATCAGCCGATTGTAATGACATCCACCAATCAAATGATGCATTCCATACTGCAACTAATGGTACAATACATTTTTTGGTGCTGTATTAAGCCCTTTGTGTTTATTCTTTTGATGATTTGAGTAAGTCATTGTCAGAACCTCAACCTACCATGAAAAGCACAGTTACACCAGAATGCGGGTGGTAGAATTCAATTAGACCTTAAGCTGTGATGGGCGACGTGTTAAGAATGCTCTAAGAACAGCATTCCAAACAAAAAAAGACTACTTGTGAATCCTTTATAAACAGTTTCAGGCTTTAGATGCACACCTACTTGGGTGTGATACTGGGAACAGCCTATCTGGTTGTTTGCAAAATATATATATAAACGTTTCTTAAGCTACAGGTCTACATGCAGAATGGATACACCCTGAAGTGTGCTTCACGGATTGCTATTACAGAACCATGTCCACCCAGCAGGGCCTTCGGTGACGACGAGGTGAATTAAAAGTATCTCCTCGCTTTAATGTTCTGTGACCCTTCTAAATCATTCCAGCACTGGATTTTCACCAACAATGCTTTGCTACCTCAAGGTAAGCTATTTTTAGGCCAATGACGCAGGTGTCTCATATCACCACCCGCTCAGAACACAGATGAGGGCTCCCTCTTCCATGCTGCCTGGCGACGGGGGATGCTGTTGCCAGGCAGCACTGAAATTGACATCACACACACACCATTAGGACCTCCCCTATTGAAATGGTATGTAGCAGTCGAGCTCTCTGATCACATACACATTAATCTATTATGACAACCCCCGCGGCTGTTGACCCCAAGACTGATCAACAGCTTGCGAGCTGAGTCATCCACAAATGCCACGCTGCAGAGAATCGTGCGTAGCAGCCTTGCTTTTCATCCTCTGTGTAGCCAAATTCTGAACAGTGTTTGGTAGTCCACACCAACATACTGTTAACGTTATACAGTAATCATTATTATAAAATTGGGAATTAAGACATCTTTAACCATGTATTCTTCATTCACCAATACAGAGGAGACTCATAAATTCAGATTTATGACAGTCCCAGTTGTAATAAGCTGTGTATTTGCAGTTAACATCAGTAGGAGTTGATGGTTCCAGATGTATCTTTTTTTAGATGTCTGAGTCTGATTTGGTTCCCTAAAAATCCTTTTGTTCAGATGCTTCCTCATGATTTATGGGGTTTTTGTTTTCTATTTTCTTTCTACTTTTGGTGAGTAGATGAAAAGTGAAGAAAAATCCTGTTCTCTCTTGTACAATCTTTGCTTAGTTATGCTACTGGAACATGTCAAATTTATTTTATTGTGAAAAAAAAAGCTAATTCAATTATTTGGCTCATATCATTAATGTAAAACATATATAGTTAATAATGGCCTAAAGACATGCGTGGTAAGATTTTTCTGAGGTAAGAAATCTCAGGGGATCTATGTAAATAAGAGTATGCATATTATATCATTATGAAATCTTTTCAGTCTTGTAGATTTGATCGATGCTAATATTTTATTAGAAATATAAAATGCACACAAACACACAGAGAGAGAGAGACAAAAGTGGACAAAAGTGATGTCCGGTGGAGATATTTGCTTTTTTTAAGTTCAATCAAACCCCCAGAATATTTTATATATTTTTTAAATATGAGAGAAGAACAAAACACTGATTAAACCTGGTTAATGTAATTATCTGAACAAAATTACTCCGCACATATTACAGCTATAGATTTCATTTTACTCTGCAAAAAAAGCTCATATGCTGAGGGGGGAAAAAAAAACATACATTGATATACTGTTTTGTTTCTGGTTCATCCCTTTAAAAGTGAGTCATTGACTATTACAAAGCTCATACGCACTGATGTGATAACCGAGGCCGGTGGGTGTGTCACAGCTGCACGATTCCGCCAATCCAATCCAAAAGCGTCATCACATTATTCATGAGCAAATATTCAACCAATAATACGCGCGTATGCTAATCTAATGCGTATAAAGACCATTCAGATGGTGCGTTTGTAGCATAACTGCAACACTTACAGCGACTCTTGCTTGTGCGTGGATTGGGAAAAGTAAATCACTAACGCAGCTGGATAACCTCACGAACCATCTCGATTTCTAAATAGCTGATAACGAGAGCAACTGTGAAAGAATTGTGCTTTTCACAGACGGTTTTGCGTTTGAGCGTCATCTGTGAGGAAAGACAGCGATATCTGTGGGGTGTAGAGCAGAAGTTTTTGCCTTTTTAAAGCTAGTTGTTCTTTCCATCGACATGTCCTCCGGTGATGTGTCAGAGCAGTGTCGGCGGTTTTGCGTGTTGTCTTGGGAGCAGGTGCAACGTTTGGACTCTATTCTTGGCGAGACGGTTCCAGTTCACGGACGTGGAAACTTCCCGACGCTTTCGGTGCAGCCGCGACAGATTGTTCAGGTTATTATGAAAGCGCATCTCTCTGAATACTTTTTCTGCACATTACCTCAGCCTTATTTATTTAAGCCTATACATTTTTACGGATCTATATAACATTTGACTTTTATAATAATACTACATATGGTTAGATGTTTTAAAATCTGTTACTTAAAACTAGCACGATAATTTATGTTACTCTTACCTATTTTTTTATTACTAGCAAGTCATCTTAAGTGAGTATTATTGCTTATTTCTATTTCACTGGTTATTCTTCATTACATACTGGTATTTAGTATTCCAGTAGTTTTTAATATCTATTCAGTTAGTCACTACTCTTGCTAGTCACTATATCAAATTGACAAGTCAATATCTATTAATTTACTAATAGTATTTATTTCTTAGTTGTAAACTAAGATATGGTAGTAACTAATGTATATTCTAGTTATCCCAGTAGTAAATTGATATACACTAGGTCATATTAGACATTAGTGTGTTTTTTTAAGTGTTACTAACATTTAAATCCGATTTTGTAAGATGTTTAGTTGAAATAGTCTAAAAGTAAAAAAACAACTAGTTATAGATAATAGTATATCTCTTAAATACTAGTATAGCTGGAATAGATAATACTGAGAGGACTTCTAGAACCTAATGAAGAGTTACTAGTACAATTTTATTAAATACATTAACTACTAATCGAAAGTAAATAGTTCATATCTGAATCACAGATGCACACTGAATTCAGTGACAAAAATGTGCAATTGAATAGGTATTATTCACTATACTGATAGTTTAGAAGCCAAGTAATATCTGGAAGTATAATAAAAAAGTGCAATTGTAAAATAGGCTAGTCCATATTGGATTACTTGTAGAAAAAAGTTATAGTCTTAGAAAAATAGATACTGAATAAATGAAAGGAAAAAAAACAAAACTCTGGCATGTCCACTGCATGGCCAACTAAATGTTGGTGTAATGTCTCCCCCACCCCCCACCCCCCCACCCGGGGATAAGCAAAACATTCTTAAACTTTGGCCCTCCAGCAGATACAGAAAACACTGCACTTAGCAAATTTAAGTGACTTGTTAATGACTTAGACATTCTCACGAATCCTACACCAAGTGCGACTCATAACCGACCCTAATCCCATGCGGTGTAACACTGTTTGAGCTAGTCCAGTGATAACCAGCACCAATGCCCCCCTTTTTAATGAAAAGAATTCTTGTTCTCATACACAAGCAGTGGTGGTTTGCATCTACACATGCAAGCAGATATTGATCTTTTCTCCAGATCACTTCCTGTATTATGGTTTCATCCAACAAGAGAGGGTTTGTTTTAAGTTCTTTAGGGAGAATGTGCTCGCTGTTTAACAGAAAATGTGTATACGTTTCAGCATTTCATGTATATGATCCCATATGAAAGCAGTTTTGGGGAAATTGCCAGTTAATCATATATGTACATCTGACATCTTTTATTTCAGTGTTTTCAAAAATGCACTATACAGTGACATTTCTTAGATCTTAGAAACTGGCCTAAGATTGGCCCATATTGGTTCTAATTAAATGAAGATTGAAACTTGGTATGAACTGTGGAATCTGTCAAGTTTCCCCTCCTTTGATCCAGTTTTGCTCCTCATGAAGTGGACCGTGATAAATGGTCAAGCTTTTGACAATCTGCGTTACATAATATTCCATCTGCCTGGGTTTGAACGGATGGTAACGTCCTGTCAATAAAACCCAACTAGGAAGCCCATTATATTTCATGGAAAACCTGTAAAAAACAACTTTGATGTTTTATTGCACAGCCTCCACATGTCATTGCAAAATTGACAAAAGATGGCCGCTCGTTCACTGTCAGTCGTTTTCCCTAACCCTAATGATTTGCCACGGCACCATGCCATTACATGGACTTTGTGGCTGTTTTCATTATCATCATAACCATGTCATGATTGCACATTTGCACCTTGTGCTTTGGGCTGTGATGTACAGCTGAACCATAAAATGTAGGTTTTAAATGCAATTGTGAACCTGACTTGGCATCATCTTAATATCATAATATTCACATGCACTGCAAGGTGATCCGGTTAAACCCTCAATCCATTGGTGGAAATTAAAGGACCTTTGAGTTTCTGTTTGCTTTGGCAATATTTTTTGAAACCTCATTGACTTATGTTCATATTGACAATAGTCCATTATGAAATAAAGTAAACCGACTTTTTGTTTAAATAACACCCAGTTTGTGGTTTAATAAATTGCACTTGGCCACATTGCAATTTGCTTGTGGATTAATTGTGCTTCAAATAAGTATAACTTTAAGTAATATGTTCTCCGCATGTGTGCTTGCTACACTGCATTCACTTGGTCAATTGCTGCAATCTGACCTAATGTGTAAAAATAGAAGGCTAATGATTTGATTGACAGGAGTGAGGGTAGGTGCGCTGACTGACATTAATCCGACAGAGCTGTGGAAAAAGGTTACGTGCATTCTAGACGGAGATAATGAGTTTGATTTAAGCACATTTTAATCTTTGAATGGTTGCGAAACAATATAAAAAGCATATAAATCTGCTTGGCAGGCATAAAATGTGTTCTGTGCCAAAATCAACATTTTTGCCTTTATTGAATCAGGCATTTATTAATGCGTTTTCCGATTTCACATTTAAGATTTATAAGACCTTCATTTGAATGTGAAATCTTACAACTGCCTCTGTAGTTTCACGTATTCTTAAGCGAGCAGTTTTGTATAATGTGCAGCTGTTGCCTACACAGTGGTGCATGTTTCCAAGTCTCAGTGGATGTATTCCTGCTGATGCACAGATGTGTCAGTGCACAGTCCATAAACACATTAACACTGGTCTTTACAATTAGCTTCAGCTCTAGTTTGTGTGTGAAATATACTGGGAACATTATGAATATGCTTAGTAGTGAAAAGTAAAATGAAGATTTTTGTTAATTCGGTGAGTTCAAGGCTAGTTTTGTTTATAAAGTGCATATACGTATAATAACTTGCCATTTGCAAATAAATGCATCCAGCATAGAAGATTACCATTAAAAGGTCAATTATAGTAAATAACGTTAAATGTGTGTGTGTGTGGCATATTCAAAAATTCTCTCAGGGGGGTTTAGTTGGAGCATATGGCTGTCTGTATTCTACATTTCGACAGCCTGAATCACTATAGCCTGGTAATACCAAACTCTGCTACTTTGCTTTGCTTCGTAGACAGAGTCTTACTGGAACGGTGTAATTGAAAAGTGTTTTCTTTTTCGTGCGCGTGGGTGGGATGTGGTGCTTGTCGGAAGTATTAAATCACCCGGTTACCCATAAGCCAATCACATAACAATATCACCTCTCAACCCAACTTATACATCACCTCCGTTCAAAATTTTTAACAAACGCCCTTCTTGTTCGGGGTTCAGTTTGCAAATGCCGGGAATATTTTCCACAACAGTGCAAATTGCACCCTTTATCGCCATATCTGCGGTTGTTCGATTTCCCTAACCTAAAATGCAACCTAAACTCTCCGCTTAGCATCTAAGTCGTCACGGCTCTCTACCCTCCCTCTATTCGTTGATTGGCCGGCTGTTTTCAGGCCCGAGGAAAACTGAAAACTGAAATTGAACGGAAGTACAAAGTCTGACGTAGCCAGGCTACTGAATCACAGCAACAAAGAGACCATAGTGAATTGATGCGTTATTGATCACTGACTATAGACCAACTGTAATTGTTCTTAGTGTGAGGGGGAAATACAAGAAATCTGTGAGTCCATGCAATGTTTTAGCTTAGCTAAATAATAAGATAATTATCTAATAGCAGTGGTGGCAGAACAAAGTATCCTCAAATTGCGCAAATAAGGGTTACGTGTTCACGTAGTACTTGGATGGTAATGATGAGGGATTTTTAAATGATGGCTTATATAGTAAGCTGAAAATACTTTTTGTGTTATGGTGAATAACCATTAGCTGGCTGATAATAAAATTCTTTATTTTTCTAAATGCATAAAAAATAAAACAAATAAAATTCGTTTTTTTAAAAGTTACATGAAGTGTGTGTAGGAATCACAACATTGATTTTGAGATTTACTTTTTTTAATGATTTTTTTTTTTTAAGATTACATTTAACAGTGTTAAATTATAAGCATTTTTAAAGAGTAACTTGAAGTGAGCATTGTGACTGCAAATGTGATCTAAATGTAAAAATTTAAATATCGAATATTGACCAAGAAATGAAACGATATCTGATCTTAAACTATTTTTATGCAGGTGGTTCGAGCGCGTTTGGAGGAGCGAGGCATCACGGTTCGAGATGTGAGGCTGAACGGCTCTGCTGCCAGTCACGTTCTGCACCAGGACACGGGGCTCGGATACAAGGACTTGGATCTGATTTTTGGTGTTTCACTGTCAGATGATCAGGCTTTCCGTGTGGTTAAGGATGTGGTTCTCGACAGCCTTCTTGATTTCCTACCCGAGGGCGTCAGCAAGGAAAGAATCTCACCACTTACTTTGAAGGAGGCCTATGTGCAGAAGTTGGTGAAGGTTTGCAATGACACCGACCGCTGGAGCCTCATTTCCCTCTCCAACAACACCGGCAAGAATGTCGAGCTTAAGTTTGTAGACTCTCTGAGGCGGCAATTTGAGTTCAGCGTGGACTCCTTCCACATAGTCTTGGACTCCCTTCTTCTGTTCGACCGTTGTTCAGAGACGCCCATGTCGGAGTGCTTCCATCCGACGGTTTTGGGCGAGAGCATGTACGGGGACTTTGAGGACGCTCTCGGCCATCTGTGCAACAAGGTCATCGCAACACGAAACCCAGAGGAGATCCGGGGAGGTGGTCTTTTAAAATACTGCCACCTTCTGGTGCGAGGGTTTCGGCCGACCTCCGAATCGGAGATGAAATCGCTCCAGCGGTACATGTGCTCCCGGTTCTTCATTGACTTTCCAGACATAGGCGAGCAACAGCGAAAGCTCGAGGCGTACCTGCAGAATCACTTCGCCGGAATGGAGCACAAACGTTATGACTGTCTGGTCACGTTATACCACGTGGTCAATGAGAGTACGGTTTGCTTGATGGGACACGAGCGACGGCAGACATTAAATCTCATCTCCATGCTCGCGCTGAGGGTGCTGGCTGAACAGAACGCCATCCCCACGGTTACCAACGTCACGTGCTATTACCAGCCGGCACCCTACGTGCGAGACATCAACTTCAGTAACTACTACATCGCACACGTGCAGCCGCTGGTGCACACCTGCAGTAGTTCCTACCCAACGTGGTTGCCCTGCAACTGACCCCTGCAGTGGACATCTGATAAAAATCGACTTCAGCCCTTGTACCTTCCCATGTGGTGAAGATGATATGCAAGTGAATATATACACGTTTTTGACGTTTAAGGAGAGCTTTTACAAAACAATGGCAGTTGTTTTTGTGTTAAATGTGACATAGAATGACTGTTCACTGCTGTATGTCTAATTTGAGCCGATCCTTACATTTTCTGTTCTGCAGAGTGAACGAAGACCTTTTTCACATGTAGCAGGGGAAAAAAAACTAACTTTTTTTTTCTTCTTTCAAGCTCATTATAGATTCAGTTAAACTCTTGCAGGTTATGCAAGTGCGAAAAGGAGGCTGCGTTTTGCGTTATGAAGCTATATGTTTTTATTTTATTTTTGATGCCAGACTGGTTTCAATCAACCTCTGTTTTGCTTTTTGGTTTTTTAAAGGACCAAAGAAATTTTATTTTGTCATGAAGAACGGAATGTTTGCTGTTGTAATTCCAAGTGCCTAAAAAACATTGTACAAAAAAGTGAGACCTGTTCTTTCTAAAACCATTTTTCAGTCTCCTTGTTAATTGTAAAACTCTATTTTCAGGGATGGAGGCATGTATTTCCATGTGATTAAAAAAGCACAAAACCCATCTTCATGTGTTCTAAACCTCTTTTGAAGTAGTATTTTTAGGCATATTTTATATTTATAGGCATGTTTCAATTTGTGTTGGAAAATAATGTCAAATGGTAGGGATTTTTCTATATATTCAGAGCAGAAGTGACAGTGGTCAGTGATGAAACTTGAAAGTCTAGCACTGTTGTGGTCTGAATGTGTGCTGACTCTTAATCTGAGGAAATGGATCCATTGCAGTTCCAGAACATGAACCATAAGGATCCTTTCTAAAGCACAATGGTCTCTCTTTTAGTGTTACACTAAAGGAAACAGACAAAGGCTGTTTTGTTGATGCTGCCCCTGGAGATAGAATCCTATTTCTTTTCATAAAGCCACATCCATGTCATTGTTTTTGTAAACATCAAGGAGCTGGTATTGCGTTGTAAGCTAACTTATCAAAGGATGCAACGTTAAAAATGATTTCTACTGATTAGTAGAATAATATATATACTGTAATTTATCTTTGTGAATTGCTTTAGCTTAAAGTTTAATAGTTTAAATAGTCTTCGGCCTGGGTTTCACATACAAGGCTTAGATTAAGCCAGAAGTAGGCCATAGTTAACTTAAATTAGAGCATTTAAGTTGCCTTTATAAATGTGCCTGAGAAAGACATCCATTTTAGTCGTGAGTCTTGTCTGTGAAGCCTGGCATTAATCATTTAATTTTAAAGTTGTCACTGCAACAGGTTCATTCTTTTACCAATTTAAAGAGCTCTACATCAGTTTTCTTGCTGTGCTACTAGTTAATCATCAGGATTGGTAACTAGGTTTAGACAAGTTGGATGATCTGTAAATTCTCCTTTCACCATTGTGAGTCTTTTTGTGCCATTGCCTTTTGGGAATGAATCAATAAAGTATCTATTTAGAAATTCATCCACCTAAAAAGATCCCTGAGACTAAAATAATAAGTTAAAAACTTAAAATAATTTTCTCTTCCATATACGAGAACATGTACATTTTGCTTTTATTTAAAACTCAACTGATTTATGTTCTTGCAGATTTGGGATATAAAACGTATCCTTAAAAATATTAAGAGAATATGCTTTTTTTATTAATTAAATAATTATGAAGTAGTATCATTTAAGAGTTTAACATTCTTATGACATTAAACGTACAGTATGCGATTTTTGCCCACTTATTTAAAATAATAACAAAAGACGTACTTTGATGACGTCGGGAAAGTGCGTGGGCTCACGGGAGTTGTTGTCGCTGTTAATGACAACCAGCTCAGCTCATGACATGACATCATCGTTTCACAAAATATACAGATATACGGAATCTCTCTGTAGATTTAGCTTGTCGAGAAGCTTTAAATGCAACCCCAATGTTTACCTGTGTCATGCTTCACCTTCTCGGGTCATATTTTTCACCCGTACGTTTGAGCTTTACTGAGCTGGCTGTAGCAGCAGAACGTGCGGGCAAAGTAATCGTGGTCCATAACTATAGCCTAATACAGACGAATATAAATATTTATATTACGCTCCTTCAATGAATGACCTAACTTATTTTAGAACATTTTTTCATATATAGGGTGCACCGGATTATAAAGCACATAAGATACTGCAGTCAAACGTTTGACTGGGTTTGCGTTATGCATCCACTATGTGCTAAAGGCTAAAGGGAATGTAGTGACTGTGCGGCGCCGGAGGTGAGGCGTTTAGTAAGCATGAGCGCGCTAAAGCGGGCACGTACATTCGCAGCCTGACTCATATGAGTATTCAATGTGCGCGGCTCGCTAACAGCAACAGTTGGCTGTTTTGAATGATACGACGCGGTTACTGTGAACGGGGAGCGCTTTATGCGCGAGCAGCATCGGGGACAGTGTAGAGTGAGCGCTCGTGAGCGGGCACGTGATTTACACACATAAAAATACGTACTACTTTTTTTTCTTCGTCATTTTCTTAGCTTTATTGGCGGTAGTCCAGTGTTCCCCCTTTGTGTTTGGCGGTTTCGCCGGGTTCCGCAAGGAAGTTAGAGAAAAGAGAGGAGTCAAAGGTTATATGACGCCATAGACGGGCGACGAAACGGAAATAAAGAAACGTCCCGTGTCTTCGAATTAAACTATAAATTTCTCCGTATTTGAAAGTTGGTGGAAACTGTCGGGATAATGTAAGTACACATCTAATATAAATATATAACATAGATAGGCTACAGTTATTTTTGCTATTTTTAAAGCAGAAAAAATACATATTGTGGCTTTAAAGAGAATCACTTGCCAATATGATAAACAAAAATGTCAATGTCGAACTTAAACTTTGAAAACAAGTGTTATTGTACACAGTTTTGATTCTTAAGGAAATTTATGTTTTAAGAACATGTATATAAATAATGGTTAAATATACATTCTTTAGTGTACTAACCTCACTGTTAAGTGAAGGTGATATTTTATTGCAGTGTGTCAGGGAGAGACATTTTTGGCCACACTATTCAAAAGGCATCAGGGGAGCACAGTCATAAAGCTGAAGTAGAATAACGGGGGAATAATACTCCAGTCTTATTCCCTCATGTTAGCTCTCACATTATAAGGATATAAATAAACCCACGTTAAATGACTAAGGAACCTTAAAGAAAAGCACATCCATTGGTAAACCATGTGTAATATCCTAGCCCAGTTCAAACAGTGTCACTGGTGAAACACTGTGCCAGACAGTGGCTTAAAAAATTAGGATGAGGTAGTGCTATTTAATTCAGTGTGTCGTGAAAGAGACATTCAGGGATATACAGTATTAGGAAATGCTTGAACATGTTGAGACATGTTTTGGACTAGAGGGGACAAGTTACAGTTTGATCATGATGTCATTTATATCAGATATTTTCTGTTATCTATACCAGTTATCTGTGAGAGCATTTTTGTTACCCTTTTCCTCAAGTGTAATTGGAGATGAAACCAGTATTTGACATCAGAAAAACAAAAATAGAAAATGTTATAACAGAATTGTGTTCACAAAAGAACATAGAATGCACAACATATAACCAGTAACTTAATACAGCAGCCTTCAAAATGAGGTCAACACCTCATGCGTACTTTCATGACAATATCATTTCATGGCACAAATGGTAATATGATATGTCATATAATGTTATTATGAACAACTTTGGCTACAAACATACAGCAATCACAAAAAGTTGTTTGGACACCAAGACAATGCTTATAAGTAAAGAACAAACACACTTTTTCAAGCAATCACTACACTACAATTCAAAGTTTGGGGTCAAGATTAAAAGTTGTATTTAGCAGCCAAGAGTTAGAAGTAAAGACTTTTACATTGTTGCTTAAACTTTCTTTTCATTAAAGAATCATGATAAAGAATGTTCACAGTTTACAAAAAAGTATTAAGCAGCACAACTCTTTTCAGCATTGATAATATTAAGAAATATTTCTTGAGCAGAAAATTAGCATATTGGAATGATTTCTGAGGGATCATACGACAGTGAAGACTGGAGTAATGATGCTGAAAATTTAGCTATGACTTTACAATAATACATTAAACTTTAAAATACATAATAAAATACAACATAGTTATTTTAACTTGCGATAATATTTGACATTACAACTGTTTTATTGTATTTTTGATGTATTTTTGCCTTGCTGAGCAGAACAAATTTTATACATCCAATAAAAATAACTTTTGACAGTTATTTTTTTTTTAAATGCCGATTTGTTTGATATTTTGTGGCCAATGCAATAATATTTGAATATTTTGTCTTGAATGTCCAAAATTGTCCAAATACCTTTTGGGTCAACTAGGCCAACATTTTGCACAGAAATGTCTTTGGCTAAAAGTGTGGCTCATGTAAAAATGAAAAGCTTTAATGGAAAATGAATTTAATGTTTAATATTTTGCTAAGGCTGGGAAATATGTCTCCCCTGTCCATGCCAATAACATCTATGTGTGTGAGTCACACCTGTCTGTCTTGCTTCCCCTGCATGAAACAACAACACTCCTTGTCTTCATCCTTGAATCACTCAAGGATCCTTCGTCAACTGGACCGTTCACAACACTGGGAAAGTGCAATATTCACTGTTTAGATAATTATGTTCATGGTATTCGTAAACCTGACAGGCTGACATTTGGAAAAACCACAAATTAAGTTTGAATTTAATAAATGTGTCTTCTGTTTCAGAGAACTCATACTACTCACCAAGGATAATATTCTTGATCTTGTGCAGTCCTGCTGACAGTGATCTCATGCCAAATGTAGTTCAATAAAAAATTAAAGTGAGGGTTTTAATCATGATTCATTATTATAAGACGACTCACTCTCCATTAATGAGCCATTCAAATTATGAAATTAAAACGTCTGCAACATTCAAAGCAGCGCCTGATCTTGGTGTGTAACACAAAATAACTGAATCAATCTCAATAAATGGGGATTTTAAATTACAGCCTGTCTAAAACATCCTAAAAAGTGCCTGTAGCACACAATGCGGTTCTCAATTCATTAAAAAAGATCACACACCTTCAACACCAAACAATCAAAAACAAGTTATCTTTTCCCTCAACCACGACGTCTGCCATTTTCGATATGACATTAAATTAATCTTGACATTTAATATGTGTCAAATATATGCACCTTTGTTATAAACTACCATCACTGAAATAAGTTTTATGGAGAAACATCACGATGAAACCATAAACTGGAATGCACGATATGTGCTTTGAAGCCTCAGGGGGGAAAGACAAAGTTATCACATGTTTCGTCATTCGAATCAGGCCAGAGAAAAGAATGGAAAAATGAACAGGGCGAGCCTCTTTTCAATAGGAGGAAACCAAATAAGTCCTATTTTTGAAGGAATGCTATAATGTTGTAACTTGAAGATGTGCAGATCACAAAAGGTAGGTCACTCATTATAATTCGTTGACGTTTTTCCCCCCCATCTCATCCTTTTAATCGGTGTAATCAGAAAAGACTTATTACATTTTTTGAGAAATTATTAGCATTAGCCCTATTAGCATTAAATGCTATTTTCATGCAT